TATTTTATTTAGAAATTTTCAATAAGTGAAGACGGTTTATGATCAAGCCAGGATTAAGAAGGACATATGTTGAAAAGTCTTGAGTAACTGTGAGATTAGTCGAATTCTTTGAAGCAAACATTGGATTTTCGGGTTGATGAGTTGCTCTTATTTTCTGGCTTCAAACTTTGCATAAATTATGACTACTGCCAATGATTAGAAGTCATCCTGTAGGGTTTCCTTCACACTATCAAAAGGTACTCTCCACGCTATGAAAATGTCTTCTTGCCTTCTGTGAATTTGCAACACTTCTTTCCGATATGATAAAGCTGCAATGGAGAATCGAAACTAGAATAAAGTAGGGCAAACAACATCAGTATTATTATGATTAATATGAGCAAAAATCGCTTAACCTTTTGACAGGCACAGACATCGACTGGATGCGCGCTCGCCTTCAAAAATGCTCCCAACAATATCTCTGGCAGTCCACAATGGTACTTTGGAGCTCTACTCTTTAAGCAATACTGCGTCATCTTTGATTACACAGAAAAACGCTTGGGATTCGCTAGCGCAAAGAATGCCAACAATACAACTGCTAGGTATGGAGATGTTTAATTTTGATTTTGTTGCAGTCAAGTTCAAATATGCTTTGTTTTCAACCTGCCGCAAAAACAACATTAATACCAACGACGAAGAGGAAGAAGCTAGCGCCTATCGTCTGCAACAGCGAAATTCTTATCTTAATGCTCATCTTACTCAATCCAATGTAATTCCAGGAGCACTGCTGAGTAGACTTCAATCTCCTTTTTCTTATCCTTTGCTGTTGTTATATATGAGCAAACAGTTTTGCAGAAATGATGCATGAAGTAGAGTTCCATGTCACAAGTTTCGACAAATTACCATAGGGTCAGCATTATGTTTGAAGCATAATCTGCTTATTGCCGTTTGCACACATCTTATTAGGCAGAACGAAAAGAAATGGGCAATCATAACAATGTAACTTTCTCAAGCAAGCGAAATCCTGTATACTGTAAGTTAGGCACAAGTCAAAACATTAAACTTTTGACATAAAGTTATATGTATGAATATAAATCTTTTTCTCATTTTCATAATTCTTAAAACGCAAACCAGTAGTGGTCTTCGAGCATTATTTGGGCATAGATGAAAGCTAGAAGTAACACCATCATTAAATTCTTGTTTTTGGGTGCTGCTCGAACAAGAGTACTCTTTGGGACTGCCGGTAAAAATCGGAAAAACAAGGAAACGAACCGAGTTTTTTCTCATGGTGGCTCTTGAAATCAAGCGCGGTTTAGATATACATATGGCGATTGTTAATCGAACTAGTAAATAGAAAAAAGTCACATGTGCAAACCGGTTGGTCATGTCAAAACAAGAATTTCCCTTTTTTTATTGAAGACGATGTCATCAAAGCCAACCTGATTTTTGATGCGTTTTTGAAATTCTGCCTTTATCTTTCTGGTGAAGTATCCCACATTGCTCTCCTCACCCATTGCTCTCCTCACCCTTCTGAGCAAAAATTCTTCGAGCATGGAAAAAATGAAAAAAAGCGGTTCACCCCCAAAAAGTTTTCATAAACATGCATGGTCTACGCCGAGGCAGAAGCAAAATGTTTATATGCGCAGAAAAACAGCTTCAAAAGTACTATCGAAATAAAACCAAAAATTCTAAAAACAAAATTTTCTCTTTCGAAACGAAAAACCGTGTTTGGAAACTTTGTCAGCTTGCAAGTAAGCTTCAGAGCTCTAGAATGCACGTCTTGCAAATTGGATATGAAACAAAGGAGAGAACCAAGCCGAATCCCCGCTGCAAGGCGTTAAGGGTAGTACAGCGGACGAAAAGTTGAGGCGCAGAGGAGCAAGGGAGAAACAGCAAAACAATACAGAACAGCTATTAGGTTGTCCGGAAATTAATGCAGGTTTTGGATTCCAACCGCAATAAGTCATACACTTCTCATTTCTGAGTAGGTTGCAAAACATCATTCGATAGAGCAAAGCAAGCTCAATTTAGCAACAGCTCTAATCCACCACGAGTTTCGAGCCAAAAACTAAACTAAAAAACTAAAAAACTAGACTCAGGAGCCCGAAAAATCGAAAAGAATCGTAACTCAGTTCATAAGAATCCTACAAAAATTCTAACTTGCTCACGTAAGCACTATCCACATAAAACACCTATATACGCCTTTGCCGTATTTTTTCCTTTGTTAGAAATCAAGAAAACGAAGATTTTCATGTTTCTGCCAAAGTGATCCTGTGCCGTTCCCACATAAGTAGTTGTATACTACAAGTGTAGAAGTACAAACGTAAATTTTCAGCTCTCTACAAGCTTTAGTTCTCGAGAAATTTGAATTTTAGCTTGAACCACATGACTAGGAAAATATTCGATATTTCTCGAGAACTAAAGCTTGTAGAGAGCTGGAAATTTACGTTTGCACTTCTACAGGTTTGTAGTATACAACAACTTAGGTGGGAACGGCACAGCATAACTTTAGCAGAAGCATGAAAATCTTCGTTTTCTTGGTTTCTAACCGAGAAAAAAATACGGCAACTGCGTGCATATACGTCTTATGTGGATAGTGTTTACGTGAGCAAGTTAGAATTTTTGTAGGATTCTTATGAACTGAGTTACGATTCTTTTCGATTTTTCGGGCTGCTGAGTCTTTTTAGTTTTTGGCTCGAAACTCGTAGTGGATTAGAGCTGTTGCTAAAGCAAGATAGCCATCTTTTAGAGCTTGCTTTGCTCTATCGAATGATGTTTTGCAACCTACTTAGAAATGAGAAGTGTATGACTTATTGCGGTTGGAATTCAAAACCTGCATTAATTTTCGGACAACCTAATATTGATTTTTTTGCCTTTTTTTCGAAAATCATAACTATTCACGGAAATGTTTTTTCATCAAAACTCTGCACAGAAGAAAATTTAATTAAAAGAGTTACTATCTTGCTTGCTTGGACTTTAGAGCAAATTTCAGACTTTCAGCAGCATAACTCAAAATGAGCGAAGTTGCAGTGAGTTTATTCTGCTGCTTCCATCTCAAAAGCCACCCCTATCAGAAAGCAAAGACACTATCACGAACCAAAGAGTTTCGTCTATCTAGCAAAATAGAGCTTATGCAAATCCCTTGAGAAAACAAGAAATTACGATTTTTGTTTGTTTTCAAAATGTTTGCACCAACCTGCTATATACCATTCAGTTCTTCACAAAACAATTAGAAGGATTGATCACGTCTCGACATCGAAAACCACTTTGCAACGAAGTTAATACGCAATACATTGTGCGGTTCTTCCGCAACAATCGAGCGCAGTCTCTGTTTCTACCGAACTCTATCAATCTACCTAAAATTTTGAAGTACCGTAATTTAAGAACCAGTTGTGTCAGAAAGATGTGAGCAACAACAGAAACAGAAACGCGATTCATAGGGATAAACGAAACTTGGGTTATCATTACCGCTCAGCCAAAGTGGCCACAAAATAGGCGATTTTTCGGCGGAAAAGATTTTTCTCGTTTTTTTTCACCACTTTTTAATCACGTATAATTCTGCCAAGGACTTGATGATTATAACGAGTTCTTCTTCTGCACTTCATTGCTTTCATACACAATCATTCTGAAGATATCGTGAGCTTAGCATCTGAATCACTATGGTCTTTTTTAAAAATTTGTGCCTCTTTTTTGATTTTTGGAGTTACCTTACTAAGGCTTGTCTATGTACTTCAGTTAACGAGCAGTGTTAAATCTATGGATTTTGTACAGGGAGATTTATTTCTGAGAATTTTTGGTGGAGTTGCAATCCCTTTTGGATTCCTACATGAATTGTGCCTCAGAAATGTACTGACCAGAGAGAGTTTTGACTAGTCAATTTCTTCAAATTGCAGCAAGTTGCGCTCTTCTTGATGCTTTCTTCTGAGATATTCTTTACTCCAGAAGTACTAAAATAACATCATCTGAATGGATGATTCATCGCACATCATTGAGGAGTGCCTCTAGCAAAAAATTTATAGCTCAATGATAAGTGTCAAGAAATGATAACAACCCAGTTTTAATGTGTTTCCTGAAGAAACTCAACAATTTTACCATCACACAATCAGTCCGACTGAGTAAACGTTCTACCTTCTTGCTACAGATAAACTCTCAGTTGTTGTATTCGTGGCACACATACAATTCCACTCACAGGATGTGCAAAATTTCCGTGAACTCAGACAGTCGATGGGATACTTCCGGAGCAGAAGTGGCAGGGTCGCGGGCTTTCCCCAGCGGAGGATTGCCACTACGCGCTCCGGAGCCCTGCCATTTCACGCATTTTTGTGCTCCGGGGCTTTCCCAAAAGTGGCGCACCTCCGGAGCAGAGATTTGCGCTTCGCGGAGAGGGGTCCCATTCGTCCTGTTTGTGACGTTACCGTGACGCCACGGTGAATGAATGGGACCCCTCTTCCGACGCGCAAATCTCTGCTCCGGAGGTGCGCCACTTTTGGGAAAGCCCCGGAAAAATGCGTGAAATGGCAGGGCTCCGGAGCGCGAAGTGGCAGACTCGCGCCATATGCCCGCCGGAGGTATCCCTTCAACTGTCTGAGAATGTGTTGCGAAATCACGGGTATCCCGCGAAAGTCCGCGACATTCCTGGAATTCCGCGACCTCTACGGAAATTTTGCACATTTTGTGAGTGGTATTGTACATCTTTCGTTTATAAGATGGTGTCTAATGCGATTGGCAATGTTTTTTCTTCCTCTTGGATATGTGCAAAATATAGTTGTTTTGCCTATGCGGGTGCTCCTTCGTCTTCGAAACGTCTCTAAATCAACGTTCGGAAAACCGTACAATCTCGTGATTGTTTTGAAATAGAATGTCCATCATTGAGCAACTATCTTTCGAGTATGTTAAAGGCGCAAGTCACAATTTCTTAGAGTTTTTAAGCTATGGCATACATTGACAAGTTCAGCCTTTATCATTTCGATATAGTTTATATTGGATTCAAATGATGCCAAAAGAGGAGAGCGAAGGCATAGATGAAGTTGTAAACTGAAGGCTGTAAATGTCAAAGCAAGAGTAGAAATCAAAAAGCTTTTATTCAAATAAAACGCTTAAAGGACATAATCTTCGAAGATAATACGATATGAAAACTCTTTGTAAAACTTCAGACAAACAATGAGTGCCTTGTATATCACAATAATTCTAATTGCGGCTGTCGCATTAATGCAAGTAGCTCCAACCCTGCATGATCTCCAGGTTGGTCGAAATGTTTTTCGCAATTTAGCAAGAAAATTATCTTATTCAATAGGTAATTCGTTTTAGAAGTGATTTTCAGGGTGACTATGGTATATCCCTCAACAATTTCAATTTCAAGGGAAGGAATAGCATTGCTAGCGAGAGCTTTGGCAATTCTACAACAAATAGCTCTACTCTTGGGTAAGCAGAGTCTATTTTCTTCTGCTCGAGCTCCATTTTGACAAAAATCCACATCGAAACTCAATGTCATCTATTCAATCTACCTCAAAAAGCATTTCCAAGTACGTGGCAATCTGTCGAGACGCAGACTAATTAGATGGTCCGACAGATCCCACGCCAACTGGGCGGTGCCCAGCTACTCCAGATGAGCTGTGCCTAACCGGGTGACCGGCGGTTTTCCCTTCCCCTTTCCTTATCATATAAATCTATAATAAAGATTCTAGTCATCAATGTTATGTTCATATAAAGCAGGACAACCAGGGTGAAGGATTCAAGTCAGGAGAGTGCACCTCCTGGACTTGACATGGAGGTCCCGGGTTGTTTTCTTTTTATGACTCACATTTTTGTGAATCAATCATTCCTTAACCATTTTTTTTTCTGAATCATAAACTTTTAAAACTGAATCAGCATGGATTTTGGCCAAATCTTTGCATACTCCCACCGCCGGCACCAGCCCTCATCTCCTACGTTTCTCCGTAGTTTTTTGATATTTCATCCTTTTTTTTAATCATTTTTTTTGAGTCAGGCGATGAGTCTGAGTTTTGTATTACTTGCTATTCTTAGCAAAAAAAATAGTATTTTCTATTTATCTTCTATCTAACGATATTTTATCTTTTTTTTCCTCTTCCTTATTTCCGCGAGCCGTGATCCCCCGAGCCGTGAAAAGCGAACCGTGAATTTTCGACGCACTCTTTCTAGATCGAGTTTCAACTCTCTAGATCGAGATTCCGCGAGCCGTGAATTCCGCGAGCCGTGATTTCCTAGAGCCGTGATATCCCGGAGCCGTGATTCCGCGAGCCGTGAACTTTTTTTTTTATGCTTTTCTTTGCCACTTATCGATTCCAGCCTTTACTTATTTTTTTGAATCCCCTTATTTAAGCGCATACAAGAACTCAGTGACTCTATCGCCACCGCCGGCATTGTACATATGTTTATATGTATATATAAGGTTACGCAAGTGGAAAACGCACTGTGAGCCTAATTTTTCCCATAACTCTCACTAGTGGAAAGACCACTGTGAGGGCACTTTTGATCCTAATTCTCACTAGCGGAAAGACCATTGTGAGAATACTTTTCTTTTTTGTGACTTCACTAGTGGAAAGACCACTGTGAATGTCCCTTTTTTTTCCGCTCACTAGTGGAAAGACCACTGTGTGCCTCACCAAATTCAAAATCAAGTTCTCACTAGTAAAAAACTACTGTGAGTCCAATTTTGCCTATGGAGAGTTTCATAGTCGTTTACTATGATTGCCTGAGGAAAATCTACGGGCTATCCAATAGCTCGCGGTTACTTCCAAAGGCTACTCTCCCAGCCCCGTAATTTTGATGGCTAATCACTCAAAAACGAGTGACATTTAGCCGCCAGAAGTAGGCACATGCAGCGGCAGTGCCCTTTGAACCTCGTATCCCATCGACGAGTGTCTGGGCCAGAGGTATGCGGCAATTGTTTGTTGCTGATTAGCCAATTACGGACTTCTGGGCTGGATGGCACACCTCTCAGAATCGAGTACGGTGGAAAGCAGGTATTCGTCCCAAGGACTCCTCGAATGATTTTCCCAACGGAAGACCGAGAGAAATCAGGAACAACTTTCCAACAGCCCTACTCAAGTGATTGTTTAAGAGAGGTGCGCTTTATCTAGACCTTACCTATGATTTTTTTTCTCTTTTTGCACATACCTGTTTCGAAAAAAAGGATGGATTAAAACGCCAAGGTAAGTCACCGATGCCTGAGTCTTTGAGAAATTGTGGAACCCAACCACTACCTCAAATTGACATATCAGCATGACATAAGATTGGTTTCAAAAAAGAATCTCATGACTAATAACGATGATTAGCTAAATTCGCTAATTCGTGAATTCGTTTGGATAGTCTGCCAAGAGAATTGAGGCAAACTTTCCAAAAATGAGTCTTTATTTCCAAAAAAATGGTATTTTCAGAGGGTACCAAGAGTTTTGATGAGTTCTCGAAACTGAGACTATGTAAAACTCTTATTTATTGAAACATGATTTGATGGATGGTTGCTTGATATACTCACAACCTTCAAAAAAAAGAAGAAAAGGAGTTGTGCTGCTAATTTCCAAAAAATAAAAATAAAAGTTTTGTCGAAGAAACACTTATTTGAAAAGTGAAGTAACTTCAAAAAAAAAACCTGCCACACTCCTCAAAAGATTAGCTTCTGCATTCTCGCCAAGCACTTTTCTACTGCTGCTCCTAAGAAAATTAATTTATTCAAAAAAGCAACTGTTTTTTTCAACCAGTTTTCAAACAATTCACTTCTCACTTATTTTGTTCTCTTTCTTAATGCATGAAAATGACAATTTACTCTAAACTGCTTCTTAGCAATATTCAAATACTCTTCCTTCGCTTTGAAAGAAAAAAAACTAACATTCAAGCGTCTGAGTAGATAAGTCTGACTTGATTTTTGATTCTGTAAGAGCGCATACTGCACGAAGTTCATTATCTCAGGGTGATTTAGCTAAAATAAAAAAGAGGCCGCTAGAAAATCCAAAAAAAAGCGAAAAAAAAAATTTTTTTCTTCCTGAAACTGATTTTTTCAGATAAGACGGTATTTTCAGAGAATACCATGAGCTTCGATGAGTTTATGAAATTGAGAAAAACCATACGGAACTTATTCCTCAAACTTGTTTGACAAATGGTTGATCGATACTAACGCCCTTATTGTCAAAACGTTCTTGAATGAAAAAAAACATTTTCATAAAAAAAATGCCTTGTGCAATTACAAATTAAAAAATAAGCCCCGTGCCAAGGTCCATCAATTTAATTCGTGAAACACTTCCCATCTCCCTTCTTTTGAATTGCCTTTTTTTTATAAATCAAAAAGAAATAGTTGGCTGCGGAAATTTTTGATATTGCAGCTCACGTACTCTTGTCCTCTTTTTTTCAAGAAAATGGCAATCTTACACAAAACTGCATCTTTTGAAACCTTCATCATTGCATCAAACATCATTTCATTTTGAAAATAGTGCAGTTTACCAAAAAAAAAACACTACTAATTCGTACAGGTTTGACCAACCTATCCTCATTGTCAAAGCAGTTGATTTACTTAAAGGGTACAGGACTAGGCATAAGTTACTTATGCCGTGCATTTTTGCTGCCAGTCTCTGTCAGCGCTATTTAATAGCCCGAGTTTTTCAAGATCGTGTATTTCCAGTGATTCAGTACGATGTCGGTGCAAAGGCGATTCGAGATAGAAGTATTTGCTATAAGAACTAGTAGGCCAGAATAAGTGAAGCAAGCATGCGATAATGACATAGTTGGCAAACGTGGTTATACCCAAAATTATCTTCAACCTCCACAGCTGCGATATGAACATTGCGATGACATCAAGTCTAGGAAGATATACAAACCAGACTAGAAAACCAGCTCTTATGTGAGCCACAAATGCTGCACGTTCCTCATTTTTCTCCCTCAATTTTAACTTCCGAATTTCCGCCAGGAACCAAAGAGCCAGTAAGATTCTTACAAACAGTTGCCCGTAACCGCCAAGACCAAGACTAGCTAGAGGGTCGAACGTGTTCGCAGCAGCAACCGGTGGAGCAGCATCTACGACAGGAGGGCTTCCAAGTCCCAAGAGATCATCCAAACCCGTCTCAATTTCATAACCACCGTTTCAATGGGAAATTTCCATAACCTAGTTATTCAACTGCATTAATGTTTCAGCATGTCTCAGCCACTTTTCGTCAAAAACAATTGTAATTTCTAAAAGCAAAAAGATGGGAATTCAGTGAAATCAATTTTTGCCTTCGCAATCATATTATTTTTTCATGTGTGTCAAAAAAAACATTCAGAAATTGGGAGCTGATTTACATATGAGCGTTCCTTAATAGCCTTACCTAAACTTACAAAAAAACAAGCCAGGTTTCTTACATTGAAACGGTAATAAGCATTTTTCAACGATTCAGCTATAGTATTAAGGTAAAGATCTAGCGTATTCATAACAAAGAAGGCAAAATAGGTGCTCACTCAAAGGAAATTTAGAATGATGGTGATTACGATCCGAAAATTGGAGAAAAGCATTTCAAAATCTCCCATTTGACTCTTTCAACCTTTTGTCCTGATCATTTTAGGATAAGCGGTGACATCGACATTGTATCATCATATCGTATATGCACACCTTCTCGAAACCTTACAAAACATTGGGCTGACCGTGCAAAAGGCACAGAAATTTTGTAAAAAAAAATCTTTTTTTTGCTTTGTCGTTCGATTGCTAACTTCAGTCGTTCACATCTTACTACACATTCCTTGTTACATGGCTGAATCTTAACCCGCTCGTTATTTACCGTACAAAAGAAAACTCTTCGCACCTTTAAAAACTATCTGAAAACTTTAATGGACAGCCTAGTTCAATAAGAACTTAACTGTCCATCTCTTCTTGACGACATCAATTATTCTCCTTGCGAAACGAACCATGCGATATAAAGGACGTGTATAGTCCGACATAGCGCGGCTAATACGTTCGCCGTAGTTTAGATAGTCGGAAGCGAAGCTAAGAAACGAAATGGGAACGCAAAGAAGAAGATATCCTTTGAAATAGTAGCTCCATGAAGATTTCTGTCAAATCTCGTCTAGACATTGTTAATGTCCCTATTTTATGTGTGTTCGCCATTGTATTACAAAAGATTTCTTTCATTCGAATTCAAGTTTCGTCTACACTCAGATGTTCAGAGCATCTGAGAAAGACGGGAACTACTATTTGCCAGTAGCAAACCATAACCCTTACTAATCTCATTAACGTAGCGCCTACTGGTAAAGGGTAAGTTTGCCGCAAGCCTCGCACTATAACAGGAAATACTTCTTCGATAGGCGGCTCGGAGAAGCCTTTCAGCCATTCAAAATTTCACCCCACGCCCTTGTGGGCAGCGTTAGGGAAGTGTTTCCTCTTGAGTTGCCCACATGATAGATCCCGAAAATTCCATGTTTTTGTTGCCCTTGATTTATTTTCTGAATTCTGTAACGACGAATCTTCAAAACTTCAAAATGTTGAACGTTCTGTCACACTAGCAATTTTTTTGTGCATTATTGTTGTCTACATTTTTCTTGTATATGTATTTCTTCAATATTCACTACAACCCCATCGCCACCTATTAAAATTTCAAACATCCCAATTTGACTTTTGAACTATACCGCTCCCACCATGTTGTTTTATCCTCATCCCATCGCCATACTCGTCCCTTCACCTCAGATAGAGCCCATCCATCCATGATGTATTAATAATGTCGCTACCGAATCCATCCGCCTCTCCAAACAACTGCGGAAGCCTTACTCGCACACAATTCTGATCATTACCCAACTTCCAAGTTTATTTTGCTCCGCTTACCTCTCAGCTCGAGACGAGCTCTTTCTTTTGACAGGGCGTGCAAAAGCCGTGCGTTTCTTATAAGCCCTTTTCCCCTTGTCCAATTATGAAGAGAAGTCAAGCAACTAAGCAATGAAGCGATCAACAACAGCATGCTAACCAAAGCAACGATCAAATGGTACATGGGCAGTTTTGATGACGATAATGGTATCAACAACACCCTCTTGCCCTCAAACGAAGCAATGATGATACAAATGGTAATGGGCAGTTCGATGATGGTTTCCTACTCCCAGGCCATGGTCAAAGATGAAAGCTCGGGACGAGCTTTATTATGGAATGGACATGTCGAGACGCAGACTAATTAGATGGTCCGACAGTCCCCACGCCAACTGGGCGGTGCCCAGCTACTCCAGATGAGCTGTGCCTAACCGGGTGACCGGCGGTTTTCCCTTCCCCTTTCCTTATCATATAAATCTATAATAAAGATTCTAGTCATCAATGTTATGTTCATATAAAGCAGGACAACCAGGGTGAAGGATTCAAGTCAGGAGAGTGCACCTCCTGGACTTGACAAATCTTTATTGTTGCAAATCCTATAAAAGCTTATATCTTCAAGCATGATTTGAGTATCAGTCCATAATGGCTCTTGTGAACGCCATCCACCTTGAAACAAACAAAATTATAATAATATGAGTTTTTTCAGGCCCGTTCCAGGAAACGTTACCTCTACGCTCAGTCCTGTTCCAAAGAACGTCACCTCCACAGTGCCACTCAAAAACGTCACTTCCACGTCAACGTTCCCAAAAAACGTCACATCAACGTCCGTGATTCAGACGACAAGCAATCTAACACCTTCTGCTCGTTTTTATTGCATTCTTGTCGTATTTCTTACCCTAATCTATTCATAATGAAAAAAATAGTGCAGCCGTCAAGCAGCACATTTCCAAAGATTTTATCATACGTCTAAACAATGTCAAAACATACTGTAATAAGTTGAGAATTCATGTTATAAATCCACATTGCGACTTTGATTGAAAGATGTTGGGTTGGTTCAAAAGTTCTGACTTTATGGTTTCTTGTTGAGTATTGATTCAAGGGAAAATCACTAATTTGGTGCAAAATCTTTACTAGAAACCTTACTAGAAACATTACTAAAAACATGGCTTGCGAAATCTTGAGGCTAATTTCAAGGCTCTGCGTTCACAAAAATAGAGGAGGTTTGTGCTCTTCACGAAGGTCATTTGAGTGCAAGTTTCTTGGCTTTCCTGGAGGACAGGCTTTCAAAAAGCTCATCAGGTTTTGCGATTGTTGTTGATATTTGTTCCTGAAATACTAAAGTACTGCTAGCTGGCTCTAGAAAATTTGTAACTTTCTTAAATGTGATAGTCTGCACATTAATGTGGCAAACTTCAATCTCCCAAAATGCAAAACAAAAGAAAAACTATAACGTATACACGCCCAGTTGCAAAAGTAGTAACAAAACTCAAAAAATCAGAGACTTACAATCCTCATAAGGTAATATGCGGCTTCAACAAATTATTTAGGATTGTTACTGTGCACGCCTTCAAAAGTGCAAAGTACTGAGTTTGACTTTTTTACTACTGACCCAAAGTACGAGATGAAAACTGAAGCTAAAGCAGCGTTGTTGTAGAATAACCTTAGAGAGAAACATGCTGTTCAAAAGGGTCACTTGTTATTAGCCACTCATAAAGTTTGCCCCATACCAGCTTTTGATGATTTTTGCCTGCAGAAGGTAGGCCAATAATTTGCTAGAGATTGAACCCCTTTTCACCATTTTTGAGCACTACATCAGTGCAAAGAGAGACAGTATTGATGTGGGAGAGTGGAAACTAAGTGGTCCAGTAGATTTTTGGTACAACCAAAACGTGGAATTCATTGTTAGTGACTATAACCGCCGATCATTACAAGATTCAATGCTACATAATTATAGTCTCGTAAGCTACCAGTCATTTCGTCAAAACCATGATCAAATACTTCTAGAAAAAAAAAGAGCAGCTGTCTTCTCCTGAGTTTTTTCAAAGTTTTGTCAGATCATCCAGCGAAGGCGGTAATTTGTTCCTCCTTTGACATTGGCCTGTAGTATCGAACAAATTCCTTGCTCTCGCTTAGCAGTGAAGTTCGTGATTAGACAGATTTTTATATCGATGGTCTAGATCTAGACAAACCTTTCTGTGGCGAGGATCTGTTTGTATTAGGTTGTCCCATAAGTCTTTTCATTTTTGTATTAATGTGGAGAGTGGAAACTAAGTGGTCCAGTAGATTTTTGTTACAACCGAACGTGGATCATTGTAAACGGCTATAACCGCCGATCATTACAAGATTCAAGGCTATTTATAGTCTCGTAAGCTACCAGTCATTTCGTCAACACCACGATCAAATACTTAAAAAAAGAGCAGCTGTCCTCTCCTGAGTTTCCTCAAAGTTTCATCAGGTCATCTAACTAAGGCGGTAATTTGTTCCTCCGTTGACGTTGGCCTGTAGTATTGAAAAAATTCCTTGCTTTCGCTTAGCAGTGAAGTTCGTGATTAGACAGATTTTTATATCGGTGGTCTAGATCTAGACAAACCTTTCTGTAGCGAGGATCTGTTTGCAGATTAGGGCAACTGGAAAAGTGATTATTTTGATGAAATGAGCTGTATGCTGTGAGGACCACCTAAGAGGTGGTTTTTGTTTGGAAGTGCTAGAAATTGTGGAAAGATTCTATAAAGGGCCGCGCAGATTCGATAATACACATTCAACAACAAAAACCATTGAATTCTTTTCCAAATTACTAGAAGAGCTTCATTTGTTTTTGAATTAGTTGGCATTGCGTCAGGCAGAATTTAGACATAATTCTTTTATTTTTTCCTCTCATTCTCGGTAGATGCGCTTCAAATAATGTTCTTAACAAGCTTTGGACTAGTAAAGAAAGGCTCAGGTTTGTAATAATTCAAAGCAACTTCCACCAATCTGGAGATGGGTTTTTGATGCTATATAGCGGAGCTACTAATTAAGCAAACGCGCAAGTCTTGCTGCAAAAGATGAAATTCATTGCGAAAACGCTCAAAGGTAGCTCCGCCCATAATGTTGGTGGTCCGAAAATAAGAAGTCCACCTGGGCTTCAATGTATCCAACATTGCCAAAGATTCCAAAGATGTTGATCGTCGTACGTTCGTTGATCGTTGTACGCAATAATGACAAGTCAAATCTTTTGCATTTTTTGAAAGTATACATAGTAATAATCTTCTAATTTTTCTTTGAAACTATGAAAGCTGGTTTTACTTCATCTGGAGTATATATCCTGTATGGAAACTTTTAAAAAAAAGCATCCAGAAAATAGAGTAAATCACAAATACCCTTATTAGAGTATTTTTTACAAAAGCTTCCTTAATTCAGGCTTTAAAAGTTTTGAAAAGTTTTAAAGTTGCTCCAGATTGAAAGGGATAAAATGACAAAATGTTCTTGATCGTTGTAAATCTCCGATTTTTTTGGGTCCTTTACTCCTTTCCTTTTTGGTCGTATACCCGCGATTTTTTAGCGATTAACGTTTTTCGAAGGCGACGCTCCCCATATGCTCAACTGCACTGTCGGTATATCGTATCCACGATTAAGATAGCTTATATCTATAATGGTAGGATGTACGCGCCAACTACAAGTAATTTTCAGGAAATGAAATGTTTATGAACGTTTCAGGTTTGTTTTTCATTGACCACTGCTAGATTGTTTTGATTTTTTTTATTCTACTAATGCTGATCTTGGTTCCGCTCTTCTTGCTTTTCCTTTCCTTTGCATTATATTTATTGAAGCCCAAAGAGTGCAACAAATAAAATGTATTAGATTAACCGAACTTATGATGCATGTATTGTTCGGTTTGGAAGCAAATGTTGCCGATAATTTCATGCAAAAATTCATGCTTAATTTAACTGATATTCATAAAATACAGAAGTTTCTCTCTGAGACAGTCATCCAAATACAATTTTCGAAGCTTTCACAACACTATCCGTGATTTTGAGTTAAAGGCAGTAGGTCGGCAGAATGAGACCCGTGGCAAAACAAGGTCACAGGGTAGGAGCCCCCATAATGGAACCTATGGGCCAAAGTTCGATCTTTCTCTGCCACTTCTAACCCCCGAAATTTCAAAGCGAAAGCAGCGCTCATCTCCTGTCCTCTCCGAACCCGCCCACCCCATGGACGAGTACGGAAGCCCATCATGGCGAAGAGCAGAGTCGTTGCGGGACCTCATGCTTATAGCATTGCGGCTGGCGCTCTGACCGCGGAAGTCACTCGTCTGTGGGGTGGGCGGGTTCGGAGAGGAGGAGATGAGCGCTGCTTTCGCTTTAAAATTTCGGGGGTTAGAAGAGGCAGAGAAAGATCGAACTTTGGCCCATAAGTTTCATCACGGGGGCTCCTACCCTGTGACCTTGTTTTGTCACGGGTCTCATTCTGCCGACCTACTGCCTTTAAGACAAACATGTATCTGCAAAATTTTTCTTGCAATGTAGTAGCCCATAAATTACTGTGGCAGGTTTAGATCATGTAGAAGTCTAAAAACAAAGAAGTTTGTGAAAAAATATCATTTTGCAGGAAAAACTTCTTTACCACAGGATCTCAGAGGAAGAACGCAGCTCAGAAGCAATGGCATATTGACAATTTAACCCATTGACGACGACGCCTGATCAGGGTCAAGCGTGGGGTGCGGCACGCCACACCTGGGGGGTCGTATTGAGGAGTCAAAAGGGGAGGGGGTCGTAGTTGGGTAATATGATAATAGTGATAACATGATATTCGTATCATATCCATAATTAGCATGTCAATTAACCCCTGTAGACAAAGTGTGAGCGAATTCTGAAGATTCAAGATACTAGGCTACCTGAATGAAATGGTCAAATTCCAACATGGTTAACTTTGTTTCAAAGGTGAGTTAGCTATCCGTTTTTGCACTCAAAACAAAGCACTACTCCTTCTTTGTCCACCTGAGGAATCCCGCTTCAGAAGACCTGCAAACTGTGGAACTAGAAGCCAACCAAAATCTCGTTTTCCCCATTTTTCGCTTTTGATCGCTGTGCTTTCACCAGATATTACTTAGAACTAAGAAGACAAATTAGGCTCCAAACAGTCCTATGGAATCTACAAAGTTTAGGCTATCGATTCATATAAATACTGTCCGCTAAAAATGTTTTTTTGATATAGTTAATGGGGTGCGGCACACCCCCTTAACTTGCCTTCAAAATCCAGAAAGCGCTGGTATGAGTATTGAGCACATAGCTTCTTCTTGCTACATTGGAAATTTGGAGCCGAACGCCCCACCCTTAAGAAAATTATGGCCCTTTCAATATGCCCATTCAGATCAAAATCAGCCGTCAAATTACGTGTGATTGTAAAGTGCAGTCACAGAAAATCAGGCGTACAGCTCTCAGAAATCTGAAAACTCTCTAGAAAAAGATGGTGTCCTCCAGAATGTCACACTTTGAGGTCCAGAGGTTAAGAGGAGGAAGAAGGGGTCGTTTGAGGGCTTTCATGGGAGGGAGGGGGGGGGGGGTCGAAAGACTTGTGCCTGACCTCTTTCTCAACTCTGGTAATGCTATCTTAGGTATATAGTTCAGGGGGGGTCTTATTAAGACAGCAATCAGGGGGGGGGTCGTAACCATCAACATTTACTTGAACGACAGAGGCTATAGGTCCTAAGAATACAAAAAATTGGAAGTGGGAAAAATACTAGACCTGCAAATAATACGACTTCGCGAGAGGTGTGGGCCACCGGGGGTCCACATCGTCCCTGGCAGCAAAAAGCGCGTAGGCCACTGGTGGTCCACATCGCCGTCAATGAGTTAAAGTGCTGTGACGTAATTCTGGGCGTCAACTTGGTTTTTGCTAAGAAATTGCAGTGCTAAGGAAGTTAAACCTGCAAAATGACAATTCACAAACGTTTTGTTTCCGCATATTGATGAGAGATCGAAGCCCTCCTCGTCGATGTGAAGACTATACTGCGTAAGAAAATTACAAATTTTTAAGGGCTAGCAGTATCTTGATACATTCATAAAAAACTCAAAATAACGGGATTTTAATTTCCATTATTTTTTGTTTGGTCGTGAGATTTAGCCGTTTTTGAAAGCCTCTTCTTCACGGCTCGGCACAGGTGGCTTTTAAGCCGCTGGTATCGTTTTTTGGGACGAAAAGCAAAGGGGGTTTCGTTTTTGTGACCGAAAAGACACGGAAAATTGGCGACGGCGACCTTTTTTAGTCGACGTTTCGGTTTTTGGGGGATTTTGGGGAATTTTTCAGGTTTTTAGAGGAAATTTGGTTGAGGGTCAAAGGGGACTTCGTTTTTTCCATTTTCATCTAGCCACCTCGTGCCGAGCCCTGCTCTTTTTCTAAGGCGAGTCAAAGAAAACTTACACACAACTTTCGTGAAAAGCACCTCCTTCTACTCTACGGGTGCAAAGCTTTGATTTGAGTCCAAAAATTTGAAACTTAATCTCCTTGTAATTCGCAAAAAATTTTACTACCTACCAGTTTTCCCTTTGGAACCACGCTCAAGGAAGAAGCATAAAACGGGTAGAGCTTTTGAAGAAGCCCAATACTTTTCAATTGAATTTGAAATGATGGTTTATACAGTGAATTCTCAACTTTAGTACATTTTACATTTTTGAATAGTCAATTTAGTGTAAACGTATTGAGTGTAATGACACCATAATGGAGATGTGCTGCTTAACGGCTGCACTAATTTTTTTCATTATGAATAGATCAGAAAAAGGAGTGGGACAAAAAGGCAACGAAGACAAGCAGCAGGTGCTAGACTGCTCGTTGTTCCAACCATCGTGGTTGTGACGCTTTTTGGGAACGCTGGCATGGAAGTGACGTTTTTGGGTAGCACTGGCGTAGAGGTGACGTTTCTTGAAGGTACAGGCCTAAATTCTTGAAGGTACAGGCCTAAAAAGACTCAAAATTACTTATTTATGTCTCGAAGGGGCGTTTGCAACAACCGCGATGGACTGATATTTAGATCAAATTCGGAGGCTATAAGCCTTTGATTTCTACGTACTTGCAGATTTGGAGGGGCAAGTTAATTGGATGGTATTAAGTTTCGCTTTCTCAGAAAAGCGGTTCGCAAGCAGCAAACATAGTTTCGAGATCAGTGTGTCAAGTCGAGCATTTTGATATATAATTTGTCTTACGGTCACCAATTCTCCTTCCCCTGTGGTCAAATAATAGGAAATGTTATTTATTTTACAATACAAACAGTACACGTTCACATTACATCATATGAAGTAAGATAAGCATTAACACGAGAAATCTAGTCTAGAATAATATAGCACAGGCGCACCCTCCTTGATCGTTGTTGTTTCTTGTCTGAAAATGTTATTGCATACTTGCGTCCAAAATTATTGCAAAGTACTGTTTAGTGAAGTTCGACTATCGAGTAGATGGGAATGAATTTAGTAGATAGGCAAAAAAATAATTTCGGTCGGTTCCCGCTTAGCAGAAATGTTACAAACTCATTTACTAATGCAAAGTACCACTAGAAAAAGCGAAACAAGGAAAATGGGAGGTTGACTTGCTTGTTCGAGAATTTCTTTAGGGGCGAATTGGTGCAGGAAAGAAGAATAGTCAAAATATTGCCAGATTTTCAAAAAATCACACTCCAATAAACGATCTGAAGTTTGGGTATAAAATGAACGCTTGGCTCTGACACAATAGATTATCGCGTTTCCGACCATTTCCATGGCTATAGATGGTCAACTTCAAGCGTTCTGAATTGCCCAAAAACTGACTTCCACGCGCATACATAGGAAAATTCTCCAGTTTTGGCTGCTTTGTAGCCAAAGATTGTATGTATTCACTCACCAAATTTTCCTTAGGCACTTACTACAAGCAGAGAACGAAACTTATAAAGTTAAAAAGCGGTTTTTAAGAAAGGCATAAAGTTGAAAAGTGCTTTTTAAGAAAGGGCTTAATTTGATTGCTGGTAACGGAAGAGTCTAGCATTTCTTTATGAAAATAGAGCTTTGAAGCTATTAGGTTGATGCATAATTCCTGCACCAAAATAGGTACAGACCGCAATAACTCGGAATAATCCTACATCCCAAGTAGGATTCGATATATCATTTGATAGAGCAAACCTAGCTCTACAAGATAGTGCTCAAATATCTACACCAGCTTTGATCCACGCGAAGTTTTGAGCCAAAAACTGAAAAAAACCATGCGTCCGAAAACCTTAAGACAGATCTTAAAAAAATTGTAACTTCGTTCAAAAAGCTCATACAAATTTTCTTTCTTGCTCACGCATAGACGTTCCACGTAAGAAATTTATCTATGCGGTTGCTGCATTTTTTTCTCAATTAGACGATGAGAAAACGAAGTTTTTCATGTTTTTTTCAAAACAATGCTGAGATGTTCTAGCACTGACAGTTGTATAATATAGGACCTTAGAAGCGTAAATGTGAATTTTCAGCTCTTTAGTGCAGCTGGTTTACGAGAAATATCGGATTTTTAGCAACTAGGCAAGAAAAATTTGGATAAGGAGAGCTAGACGTTATTTCTCGCGAACTAGCAGTTCTAGAAGGCTGAAAATGTAAAGTTTCACTGCTAACGGCATGTAGTATACAACTGTTAATACTAGAACATCTCAGCACTAATTTGGCAAAAACATGAAAAACTTCAAAAAACTTCGTTTTCTCATCTCTAATTGAGAAAAAAAATGCAGCAACCGCATAGATAAATGTCTTACGTGGAACGTCTATGCGTGAGCAAGAAAGAAAATTTGTATGAGCTTTTTGAACGAAGTTACAATTTTTTCAAGATCTGTCTTAAGGTTTTCGGACGCATGGTTTTTTTTCAGTTTTTGGCTCAAAACTTCGCGTGGATCAAAGCTGGTGTAGATATTTGAGCACTATCTTGTAGAGCTAGGTTTGCGCTATCAAATGATATATCGAATCCTACTTGGGATGTAGGATTATTCCGAGTTATTGCGGTCTGTACCTATTTTGGTGCAGGAATTATGCATCAATCTAATATTTTCTCAAACAGCTGTTACTCAAATTGTTACAGAGCACATCAAAACGAAGTTATTTTTTAGCCGGCCAAAAGATGCTAAGACTTCAAAAAATTATTTGACTACTCGAGGGTGGTGGTGTCAACATCTCGCACGCGGGCAAATCCCAATCGCTTTCCTTCATAATCAAAGGTGACGCAGTATTGCTCAAAGAGTGGAGCTCCAAAATACCAATGCGGAATGACTGAGGAGTCGTTTTGGACGAAGTTTATAGCGAGCGCACATCCACTTGCTGTCTATACAATATTGATCATAAAAGCCAAACTTTAAGTTTTACTCTATCTCATTTGTGTCAAGTAGAAGAATATTAAGCGTGTTCTGTAAAATTCCATTAGTGAAGATACTAAGACTATTGCATACCAACTTTTACCTTTCTTTCAATTTGTTTTTGAATCTGAAATCTTACCTGACTCTCTCAAGATTTTTTAATATTTCAATGCATGTATGTCCAAGTCATATAATTGAGTCACAATTATGCGGATAGGACATTTTGGTTTTCTTGCAACATTTATTTCTCTGACAAAAATTAAGGAATAGTATGCGATGAACCTCTTTATGAAAATGGTTTGCTCATGCTTATTTTTATTTTCATTTTTTTTCATTTTGGGGACTGCTAAGCAGAGCATAGTCAGAACCTAATTCAGCCATACCAAATATGTTGTACACCATCGGACTTGCCTTAGAATGCTGATCACAAATACATGTTAACGACTGTCTTTGAAGGAAATTTATTTGTCGAATCCCGAAAAATTTTTCATAATTAAACGCTCACAATTTCGTTCAAATAGTCGCTTGGCACGTATTAAACATACATTTGAAATCAGCGTTTTAAGACAATTTGATGATGTACATTTGGAATGGCTGGGTTAAGTTCTGAACATTTTCGTAAGCAAGAAACTTCTGTGTTTGGTGGAGCGATTTGTTGATGAGAATGGTTCTTGCTTCAAATTTGGGGTATAGTTATAAAAGAGTCAGAATTATGGAAAGTTTGGTGTATCGCATTATAACTCAAACTCATGTAGGTTACCTTTACTATTAGCCTATCCGAAGCGATTGTATACTTTCTGTAATCGATATAGAACTCGAAGTCTGGTAAAGGTGCATCGCAACTAATCTCAAATCTATTGTTCATGTACTGAAAACATCGATGAAAACTCGCAGTAAACAACAGCTTTTGACTTACCGTTGCTCCCACTTTATCTGCGATCTTTTGCACATCAGCTCTTGGACCCAAAATGGTAGGAACGAGCTCTAGCATCATAGTTGTTTGGCTGATTAAGGTCGTTCCCATTATGATGCTCTGAGGAACAGCGATAAGTAAAAGCTGTCTCGAAACTCCCTCAAAGTCAACAGTCAGTCGTCAACATTCCCTTAGCACTCCACATTTTTGATGTAAGAATGGTCACCGGTCTTCTTTGTTATTGGGTAAGGGCGGTAAAAACATCAAAAAGAGTTTTTGCACCATTAAGATCAACTCTAGACTATTATGCTGAGTATTCCTGGACGAGTAAAGTTGAAAATTCTTTCAAATGATAACCTTGTCTAAATGTCTTTACAAACTTGCACCAAATTATTCAGTGCCAGCATCCTTAAAATCAAGCACAGAAAATTAGAGGTATTTCGTTGTTTTTTTTGGAAGTTTTTACCATAATTCTATAGTAACTGTGTGAGTGATCGGTACTTCACCCTATACATCTATGTATGTCAAGCCAGCTCTATCGAATGCAAATAAAGGTGGGGGAAGGACATCATGGCAAGTTTAAAAAACGCTGTATTTATCCATATCTCTTCGTTCGAGCTTTTGATGTTGAAATTTTCCAACAAGAGGCAGGAAGAAGTAGCAAGTAGTAAGTAGTAAGTAGTAAGTAGCAGCCTTGTGCACGCCTTTCGTCTAAGTGCGAAGGATTAACCTACAACCAAGACAAAGCCAGAAAGACAATTTTTGCACGATACTGGCTCTAAATTGTGCTCCATTTTTAGCCTTCCAATAATATCGGATCATGGCTGAGCTTTGGAATTTGCGAGCTTGTCAAAAGTTGTTTCTATCGTGAGAAAAGGATAGGAATGCTCTGCGGTCAATCCTCCAAAATTGACGACTATTGTCGATTTCGATTTTTGTTGTTTGCCAATCTTTTAAATCGTTGTTGCTAATGCTCCGAATGTTTTGCTCACCATAACTTGAATGGGGGTGTCTGATGAAACGTTGTGGTAGTCGACCATTGTTTCACAGAGCGAAGTATGTGCAGAACCATAAATCACATATCCTGCGGTTGTAGTGTTGATTTGTGAATGTTTTAGATAGACGGTGAACATGGCTGGTTCCAAGATCTCTTCAAAAGCAGTAGATTTAGCTTTTGCTTTCGATCAAGATAGAATTGAAGAAATCCTACGGCTACTGATAAGTTGCTGAAGAAAAGGATCACTCGGGATGGTGCCGTCATGATCGATGCCGAGACCTAGCACTCCATCCACACTAGGCTGAAAATATCATGTTTTATACGAAACAAGGATGAGGACTGGTTATTAACCCAATTCTGGAAAGTGTCTGCCATATTCGTAGCCAATCCAAAGGTACAGTTGCCAGACAATTGATTAAGACCGATCTACACAAATAAAGATAATTGTGTTTGGAGTTTAACCTAAGCACATTTTTGGATGCTATTCTAAACTTTCACTGCTTTCGCTACACTTCAGCTCAATTACTTACTCTCACAGCGTCTTTACCGTGGGCGCCTGATACATCTCCATAAATTTCTTGAGACCATTGCCTAGTATCGTTTACAAACGTAGTTGATTGCGAGTGATCGAATTTATTTCTAGCAGTACACGCCGAAGTTCTAAATAGTTTTATCGTTTTCTATGGTAGTTTATATTATGTTTATATTATGAATCAAAACGTTTGATCCTTTCACAGTACTGTTAAACCTACCAAACTGACGTTGGGCCTTTAGCCAGCTAAGGGCGGCTTTTTTGGGTGTAGTAGCTGGTTGCACCAACGTCAATCGATATGACTATGACCTCAGACAATAGGTGCCGTAGCTCCGGAGGACAGTCGAAATCTGGCAGAGCTACGGAGGACCCAACTGACCATTGAGAGCGGGGCGAGGGGGCGGTCCCTTTCTGTAACGTCACGGTGACGTCACAAGAAGGCAGATGGGACCCCTCCGGCGGGCTTGCAAATCTCCGCTCCGGAGGTACGCCAGATTGGGGACACCTCCGGAGCAGAAAATGGGAGGGCTCCGGAGCACAAATGGGAGGGAGCACAAAATGGGAGATCTCCGGAGCATAGATTTGCCCTCCGGAGGGTACGCCAGATTGGGGACACCTCCGGAGCAGAAAATGGGACGGCTCCGAAGCACAAATGGGAGGTCTCCGGAGCACAAAATGGGAGGTCTCCGGAGCACAAAACGGGAGGTCTCCGGAACATAGGATGGGAGGTCTCCGGGACATAGAATGGGAGAGCTCCGGAGCACAGATTTGCCCTCCGGAGGTACGCCAGATTTGGGACACCTCCGAAGCACAATAGGTACGCAGCCAATTCGCTGTGATCTGTGATACGCAGCTTATCATTTTCGAAAATAAGCTGCCGTCGCTCTCAACTTACTTTTTGTCGTTCTTTCGCGCTCGTTTTTCTTTTTTTTTTGGTTTTTCGTGTTACTCGTCGGCGCGTTGGCGTTTATGTTGTTCTATTCCTCGTTTTCAGGTTTACGTTTCGGATTTTCGCGCGGATGCACTGAACACTTTTGGTGTTCGGCTCTCGTTTTTGACTTACTGTCGTTTTTTCGCGTTCTTTTCCGTTCCGTGCTGCTCTTCGGCGCTTTTGACGTTTATGCTGTTCAGTTCCTTCTTTTCAGGTTTCAGGTTTTAGGTTTTCGTGCGGATGCACTCAGTCACTTTTAGTGCTTGGCTCTTTTCGACTTGCTGAGACATCATTGACTACTGATAGGGTGGTTTTTGTGGTATCTAGATCTTGGATTTTCGAAACAAAAAGTTTATAAGCAGAGAATTCGTGCTGAGCACTATTAGTATGTCCGATATCTAGAGCTAGTGCTATGCAACGTGCTGGTCGCGCTGGTCGTACTAAGCCTGGTTAGCTTTTCGGTCCTAATCGTTCTCACATTGGGAAACTTTGCATTTTAGAAAGGTGTTTGCGGAGATCCCTTTATTTCTCTACATGCTCATGAGCTTTCTGAAGTACCCAGTCTTCCAGAATCTCACGTACGAAAAAGTCTGCCTTGCACATCATGACCAGGTATTGTAATGCTTGCTCAGCTTTTCCTGATCTTTCGTTTCTAGGACTTTCTTTTTGTTCGAATGCATCAGGCTATTACTCTGACAGAGTCATACAAGCCGGAGCAAATCACTCAAATTTTTTGTCATCCATCGTAGTGCTTGTGTCACTCCTTTCAACTCTAGCATTGGGAGCAGGTGAGGTGGGGATTGTTAAGATTTTGGTGGGTTATACATGACGTTGGAACAAAGTCATTTTAGCTGCGGATATGTGAAGCATCAAAGTCCCACTGCTACGTTTCTTGGTTTGATCCTTTGCACAACAAACTACATCGTTCGAACTGTTTACATGAGCTTGTCAGTCTATATGCTACTCATAAGCGACGCTCTATTTGGCATTTGTAGCGGATATATTTCAGTTCTTTGTGAGTGTTTTTTTTTTCTGTTGGAGTGCTTATGTTAACGTGAGTCAGTTTTGTGAGGCTCAATACATGCAAAAGGCACTCGCCTCTGTAGACTACTCGTCATAGGATATGTTGTATCATTCATTTTTTGATTGAGAGACGCTAACGAGCTTTGCGTACATTTCATTAACAAGTTCATGAATGAGTTCTAACGCGTTTGATCGATTTACTATTAGATTTCGTGGAAGAACATTTTTGAGCTCGTTGAACCACGTTGTCTTAAACACTTTCTTCTACGTATTCCTGAACTAAATAGCCAAAACTTGTTAGAACTCATCCATGAATTTGTTGATCAAACGTAGGCAGAGCGTGCTCGCGTCTCTTAGTCAGAGGATGAATGATATATGTTGTATATGCTGTAGCATATGAAAAAAAACAGTAGTCGCATAAGGGGTATTGCTTGCGTCCTCAAATGAACTATAGTACTTCCTCTTATGAATCCTTTAGTCAAAATCCTCAGTTATGGCGTGAAACAACATCCATTACTCGTCGCAGTATTAGAATAGCTGGTCTCGAAAATGCTATTGGTCTTGGAGGTACTCTTAGCTCCAAGACCAATAGCATTAGGATATGCCGTTCCTGGCACAGTCCGAGAGCAGCATCTATTCTGAACTTCGCCTCTTAGCTTGTTTTTTATTTCTGGCACTAATACGGATTACCATTCATGGTATAGTGGACCTCTTAAGTAGTTCACATGATCCTTTTATGACACGTAAAAAGCTAAAACACATGGAAAGAGTTTACAACGTCAGCTCCAAGTGTTCCTGTATTTAATCCTACAAAAAAGCGGAGACGCGGGGTCAGATAGGGAGAGTGAAGGAGGAAAGGGCAGGTAGCCGGTTTTCGGCACTCGCTGTTTTCTCAGATAATCGTTTTCGTAGAAAATGTACAAGCAGAGCGACAGTACGTATGGCCTGATTACTATACGCTCAACTGCATCTAATCTTTCGTTACTTATAGCCGTTGTGGAGTAAAGGTGATACATATGAACAGAAGCGAACTCAAGCTCAACGCAATGTCTAACAAAAGTTTTGTTTTACAATTTGCAGTAGATTGTTTGCAGTTAATTTGAAATAAATGTCTTGTCTCTTCATTCTTCTATCTTCTATCTACGAACGCTGGGGGTGAGAGGACGGGGTGGAGGGTCGTGCTGAATTCCTACTCGGGGGGGGGGGGGCGTACCCGGAGGTCGTATGCCACATCGTTTGCTCGACCCCGGTCTAGAGCTAATTTGGATGAGGTTTAGGGGCATAATTGGGGTTTGGAGTTTGATTAGGGCTAGTTACAGTATGCCGCGGGGGACATCCGGAGCGCAAAATGGGAGTACCCGGAGCGCAAACTGGAAGGGCTCCGGAGCACAAAATGGGAGGTCTCCGGAGCACAAAATGGGAGGTCTCGGGAGCACGAGTGGCAAACCCCACCCCCGCTGGGGAAACTCCGCGGCTCTGCCATTTCTGCTCCGGAGGTATGCCGTCGACTGTCTGAAACTTACTTCTCTATCTATATAGTGTGAGGAGGAAGAAGGCAGAACGTTAGTGAGTAGAAGCGTTGATTTTGCGAGAGAACTCGAGTAACACAACGGTGAGGGTCTCAAAGTTCTTGCAGGCAAGAAAATTAAATTAGACGTAGATGCTGGGCTCGAGGCGTGTAAGCAAACTCCACATTTCTTACAAAGTCACTTCAAACCTTCATAAGACTTATGAAACGTAAAATAAGTGCAAAACTTATAACTCACTAAGACAATCACAGGGGGTAGGCTAACACCTGAAAAATATCAGGCCGTAAAAATTTTTTAATAACTTTCCTCTTAATATGCACTCAAACGCCATCATGTAGGTTTTAGGACGTAAGCTACAAGCCCAGCTGCTGCTCTGCCAATTTTCGACGTTGCTGTAAGGGTTACAGTAAGTATGCAGCATTGGGGAGAAAAATCTGAATTATTATATATTTGGCTGAGACTTGGCGTGGAGAGGGTTATCTGATATGGTGATTACGAAAACAGTATTGAAATCGCGTGGTAGGGGATTTATAGGTTATAGGTTAATATAGGTTTACGGTATGGGGCCTCAAAGGCTCAAAGGCAGCGCCCATCCAAAATTTCGTCTTCCATGTTTTTATTAGTTACTGTTATCGGGCCTTTACATGGCGCTATTCGGATATGAGGTTCAAATTACCAGAAAGCTTCAGAATTGCCCCTTTCTGAAGCCCTATTTTGGCAGACGCGGACGAGTGCCCCCGCGCAAGCCACATCGTATGCAACAGAAAACCTCGTTCGTGTGCAACAGTACTACATGCGTCTCGACATTGCTTGTCATGTCAGAACACGTCGCGGGGCAATCCGCCAGTGGGAGAAGAGCAAAAAAGGGGCGGAGTGCAAAAAGGATCCAGGTCTGTTACCTCCTTTTGTAGGCAACGTGACAAGACCGGACCAACGCGGTTAGTCTACTTTTGCTGCTAGTAGGATAAGTAGTGATCTGAGGTGGACAGATTTTGGGTGGACGCTGCCTTTAACTAGAAAAAAGACGTTAACTGAACAAAGGAATATGTTATTCATGTTCGGCAGATCAAATAGCCCCACAAGTTAAAGTCCCGTCAACTCAGGCAGCGGATAGGACCCCTCCGCCGGAGAAATGGCAGGGTTGCGGCGTTTCCCCAGCGGTGGGTCTCCCATTTGTCCGGCGGAGCCCTCCCATTTCTCCGGCGGAGACCTCCCATTTCTGCTCCGGATACCTCCCATTTTCTGCTCCGGAGACCTCCCATTTTCTGCTCCGGATACCTCCCATTTTCTGCTCCGGACACCTCCCATTTTCTGCTCCGGAGCCCCCCGATTTTGTGCGCCGGAGCCCCCCGATTTTGTGCTCCGCAAGTCTGCCGCGGCATACTGTAATTAGCCCTAATTAAAGGCAGCTTCCAGGAAGATCTGGACCTATGGGGCTTTTACATGGAAAGTACTTTTGGGGCCCTAACTAAGGCACTGCCGAAGCAGCAGCTCAGGTAGTGCTCTAATGGCGGAGATATTCCCCTCGAAACAGACTCCCGCGAACGTATTCGCATGGATTCATGGCAGTTTCGCGCCAGGATCCACGCTTTGCGCCATGAATCCATGCGAAACACGGTCGCGGGGTCCAGTTTCGAGCAGAATATCTCAGGCGTTACAGCACTACCTGAGCTGCCGGTTGGGTAGTGGGTTAGTTAGGGCCCCAAAAGTACTTTCCATGTAAAATCCCCATAGGTGACTTGCCAGACTTGCCTGGACGCTGCCTTTAAGCTCCAAACCCCAATTTTGTCTCTAAACCCCACCCAAATTAGCCGAATAGGACCCCCCCCCGGGTAGGAGTTCAGCGCGACCCAAGTTTGCAAACACCCGATTAATAGTTTACTCATGATCGAAGAAAAAATTAGCATAATCAAGAATTTGGGCGGAAGTTTTTAGTAGACACAGTTTGAATTAGAACTCGACAAGTAGTTATACGACGTGATAAACGAAATCACCATATTTTACAGAGAATCACAATTAGAGAATATAGCAAGAGCAACTTGAACAATATTTCGACTACGAGAGCGTCCTACGGCATGACCGATATTTAGTAAACAAGAAATACTATACAGATACCACGACGGTGGGAAGAAAAATGAATGCAGCTGTGATGAGGTAAAGACAAGGGAAGAGTTGAAAGATTTCTGTTCTTTATCAGAAGCTATCCTAATGAGCAGGTTCCACGGTACTGCTTACTGCTTGTTCAGTACTGCTCACTGCTTGTTCATTGTCCAGTTTCATTTTCTTTATCTCCTGTCCATTTTTAGATCTTGCTGCTAGCTGAAACATTTATCATTATCTTGACTCCAAACAATCAACTCAATCAAATATTATGAACCGATCCCTGTATCCAAATCACTCGGGATATCATCCAGAAGAAAAAATTCTCATTCTGATACTTCCAAAGTTGTTGGGCCAGCAAAAGCACGATGCTCTTGCACTCCATTACTTAAATGCAACGTTAACACAAATCTCCGCATCTCCAATTTCGAGCGCCTTCTTTGCCATAGCTAGAGCTCCTTCGAATGCCTTGTTACCTCCGATAAACCCTAAATACCACAAAATGAAGAAATTGGCAAAAAATATGAGAAATTTGAAATGTACCTGTCACGTGCACAAATATGCATCCGTCAATGCCGCAGAGATTAGAAAGCTCCTCAACCAACATTGTAAAATCGCCTAATCTAGCGTGATCTCAAAGCTGCACTATAAATGATGATAGCATGAGCTGCGTTACCGTGCTGACTCAAGACATTCCGCGACGCGACTCTCACCGCACAAACGCAGTTGCGCGAGAAACATGCAATCAAAGGTGAAACACAGCATGGGTGATGTCAAACAGCCAACACCTTGACTGCGGTTCACCCAGACTAACCTCCAACAAGATCTATAGCTTGTTGAAACCTCTCGTCGGGCTTGGGGTCAGTTTCGTTCCAGTGGGGACTCACATGATTGACACGACCAGAAGGTCCACCAGGGGCGATATGCATCAATCTCCCGTTTTGAAAGCGGGCGATCATTTCCAATAAAAAATGAATGCCCGGCCGGGTTGGCCGCAGCTTCGTACATTACGGGTCGGGCGGCCAACCCGGCCGGGCAATCATTTTACTATTGAAAATGATCGCCCGCTTTCAAAACGGGCGATTGATGCATACCGCCTCAGATGTTTGATATTTTCAAAGTCATATGTTGAAGCAGCAAAACCACACAGCCAAATCAATATAGATAGGAAGAAATCAGCATACAATATGTTGATGATTAAAGCATGATTCTCATCCAAAACGTTATTCGAAAAAAAAATAAAACTTCAAGCAAGATATAAATGGATACTGACAGGGCTCTTACCTGGGTGTGCCATCATACTGTGGTATGCCGTTATCGATAGCATCTATGGCTTCGACAAACGTTTCGTAAAGCTTTCGAAAAAATCTATACACCATCTTATCGTCGTGAAAGGAATCAAGTATCTGACGATAATAAACTGAATAAGAAAGATTAACCCTGACTGACAGTGCTTACCTCTGCAATCAGTTGTTTTCCATAATGAGCCTAGATCAATCCAGCTGAACTGAGTCTAGAGTTAGAATCCAGGCCCAAATGTCTGCATCGTCTCATTGAACTCTCTGAAAACAGCACGATTATGGAATTACTGACATTAATTGTGTGATCTTCATGACTGTAGGAGACTCAAACTTAACAGCATGCAAAGCAAGATCTACAATTGGTGATGGTCGCATCGTTTCTTCGAATGATCGTATACACACGTCAACGATAACATCGCACTTGGCAAGTACAGCAGGATCCCGTGTCCTGAAATGTCATGATAATGAAATGATGACATTACGGGAGATATCCTCAAGATGAATTGTGTGCAATAAAACGTTCAAGTGCGCAAAGATTCTTTGAGTCGGTATAAGGATGTGACGAGAACCTCTATCAAAACAGCAGGCTCTGCGTCCGTATCTATCAACATATATTAAGGATTAAAATATACTTCCAGTGCGCATACTCGTAATCATGCACAAGATAGACACAATCAATTACGCATATTTCGAGCTGAATAAGACACATCTGAGGTATAAATCGATCCAAAAAGCCATCAACCCGCTTACACTACCAAAGTATAGGCGATTTATCAAATGCACAGACTGGACGTCATTGCGTCCGACCAAGATAATTCGTGCATGGGAGAGACAGCAGACGGCAAGAGGTACGAAAGAGCGCTCAATCAGCGAGACGCCGACAGCGTCCGCAGTGACGCCTATTACGTGCGATAAATTCCTCTACAGTATTTACCTTGAGGTGATGCAAATGCTCTGGATTAAGGTGAGAATACAGGGTAAATTTGACGCTGGTTTGAAAGTTGCGCAACTAACCTCATTGTTTCGAAAATCCAGAATTAATCACAAAAACCACTCCATCAATAGTCTACGATGTCTCAGCAAGTCGAAAAGAGCCAAACACTGAAGGTGATTGAGTGCAACCGCACGAAAATTTGAAACATAAACCTGAAAACGAGGAACTAACAACAACATAAACGCCAACGCGACGAAGAGCAACGCGGAAAAGAAAAAAAACGGTAAAGAAACGTGGAAAAACAACAAAATCAAAGAAACGACGACTAAAATATGGAGAAAGAGCGTAAACAGAGGACTCGTCACCGTGGAGTTAGACGTTTGCTTGCTACGCGCCAAATCGATACGCAGCCTGCTCCGGGGCCCTCCCATTTTCTGCTCCGGATACCTCCCATTTTCTGCTCCGGATACCTCCCATTTTCTGCTCCGGAGGCCTCCCATTTCTGCTCCGGACCCCTCCGATTTTCTCCGGCGCGGCTCTTCCAAATCTGGCGGACTCGCGCCGGGCAAATTTTTCCGGCGCGAGTCCGCCAAATCTGGCAGAGTCGCGCCGGAGAAATGGCGTACCTTTGCAGCAGGGCCGGAGAAGCCTCCCACTTGCCTGCCAGTGATGTCACCGCGACGGACCGCCCATTTGCCCCTCTCTCATTGGTCAACTGGGTCCGGCGCGACTCTGGCAGATTCGGACTGTCCGGCGGAGGGGTCCGGTCGATTGTCTGAGAACTTATAAGGCTTCGACTTTTTATTCATTGATGGTTGTCCACAGCATTCCTGCACACAGCGGCGCGTTCATTATGAGCCACTAAATTATTCTTTTTTTTGAGTGAATTGATTCGATTTCTAGCAACAATTCATATGGTCTGTGTCGCAAACGGCTTCATTATTGCTTATAAGTCCGTGAATCCTCGAAAATTATTAGTCTATGAAGAATGTTGGGAATCTTTTTATTTCGGGTTTGAAAATCAAACAGCTTGTGCGCAGTTGTAGCATACATTACGAGATATATATTGCCAGATATGAGTACGCCACACATCAAGAGAGTAAGGTCATGAAATTAGGGGGCAAAAACTCACTTTCCAACCTGATAGATGGCTGGTTTTTTGCACCTTGCTCGCAGATTTTGAAAAAGAGTCAGAAGAGTCACAAACGTCTGTGACGCTGCTTGTTGATTCTTGCTTCGCCATCAATCAGCAATATATCCTCGAAAATTCAAAAAGAAAAAAATCTAACAAGCATTCTTAAAAACGCGATGACCATTTTGTGCAAGAGAAGTGCAAAAAGCTAGCAACTTTTCAGGGGATCGCCGGGGTAGGCGGCCATGCGATTTATAGGCAGCGGGCACCGGAAAGTAGATCGCTGATTTTTCGCGGTCCGCTTGCAGATGTTTGAAGATTGGTGGCCACTTTTTAGAGTAACGCACAAGAAAATAGTCGCTGCTTTTTTCATATATTAATTGCAGCGCAATGACCGCATTCTTGTGGACTTTAAGCGAGGATATGCAAATTTGTTAGGGGCCGACGGTTTTTTGTGAAGGATCGCATAGCGTTGGGTATCCTCGGTAATAGACCATCGATGACTCCTCTGCCATTTTGAGACTTACCTTTGCTCGGCGTAATCCCGAAACTGCGCAAAAAAAACCCAAGAATTTCGCACTCCATTCTTCGAGGGAGGGAAAGAGAAAAACATTTTGTAATTTCTTTTCTCTTCTGGCGGGGGGGGGGGAGGACGGCGAAAATTTTTTTCATATAAACGTGCGCGGTCTTAACCAAGCACTCCAAAAATTTTTGGGGTACATCTCAAAACTTTTGCGGGCCCATAACGAAAAAAATTTCTTACAATTTAAATTTTTGAAAATTTCAAAAATTATTTTGATTCTTCACAAGAATGAACAAGTCATTTACACATTTTTATAACCGATGTAGGTAGATTTTAAAAATTTCGTGTCCCATTCCCTCCTCTCTCGGTCCGCCACGGACTCAAAGTCAGAAGAGGTCAGCGCCTCACCGTACAAATATCACTTGCGCCAGCTTTGGAATTTGCTGGATTGCTCCATTTTGAAATAAACATTTTACAGAAAGTTTCCAAGACTCAAGAGATTTTTTATAGTTCTGCAGCGACATTAGATGATGATAAGTTGTGATAAGCAAATCTCACGTGCATGCTATGCTTGGTATCCACAGCAAGGGGCTGTTCAATGTTACAAGCACTGTGAACTGTTTTCTATTGCTTCCAATCATGACACTGTGCGCGTAACCTTGATCTCCGGCAAACAGCTAAAAAAATCAATCTGATCTTTAAAGATTGGACTTGACATTTTCTTTGCCTATTTTTTTAATCAGCCCAATGATCTACATCCAATCAACTTTAACAATTAACGTGAATATTTTGAACCTACGGCAATTGAGTTGATCGCGCTGAATGAACTTGTGCGTTCCTGAGTTTTTTGACATTCGACATTCTGAACATCAAATCTACAGATATTCGATCCCTTTTCTTCGTTATCAACTGACCAAAACTTGCCATTTCGTCACAAGGATGACAAAAATTGTGGTGATGAGCATGTTTGTGCCCAAATTGTGAGTCTCGTCACATTCTGTATTGTATGCTTTTTGAAGTATCAACAGAGCAGAGTCTATGGAGTTTTCAGTATAAAATTATTTTAGATTAAAAATCTGCGATTTGCCTTTGGACAAAAAAATACGATTCGAAACCCGAAAGAATGATAGTAATGATAAAAAGCAGGCAAAAAATGGCCACGATAAATCAATCAAAAGAGAGATGGTGATTTATAGCATTTGCAGGCTCAGCAGAGACGGCAAGTCGAAACAACTTTGACAGTTAATGGACTCAGACAATCGCATCGGAAAGTTCGCAGCCTCAAAGTGCGCTTCATGGCGCGCGGCGACTCTTAAAATTTCAGCCGCGCACGCCGCGGTTCATGTGTATTTTGCCGGGAACGCCGAGGCCAAAGTTAGAATTGGAAATAAATTATCGGGAGAGTCGCGGCCCAATTACCTCACTCGGCGTGCCGCGGGCCTTACCAAAGGTCGCATTTTTTACACGCTGTAGGTTAAGGCGCAACCCGCGTGAGGTACGCCGCAGCGACTGGGCTACCCCTAAGTGTTTGTGAGTCTGGTAGTCGCTTCTCGGGTTTGCTCCTGTGTGACAGTTGAGTTTATATACTTACAAAACAAACTTCAACAGTCGGATGAGTGTTATGGACGACACTAGATGATGTCGACAGATGAGCTAACAAGTTGCTCAATTTGCACCCAGTCGTTTTCATGACAGACAGGCCAAAAGTTTTTTCACTCTTCCTAGGCCTCAGCATGCTAATCGGGTCTACTATCGGGCGCTTACAGGATGGGCCGCGTTCACATCGGATCCAATATCGGTTTATACCGGGCACTCGCGGCATGGATGATTGGTGGCTGAGCAAGCACCCGCGAACTTCCGGATGCAATTGTCTGAGGAGAGGCCCAAAGAGAATTTTTGCAGACAATTGAACTAACACTTGAAGATATGCATACTCGAAAACCATCCATTGATTCTGCTTGAAGCGGAATTGCTGAATGTAAATTTTTTCAGTGTTTTGCTTCATTACCCCAATGTAATGGTTGTGAATAAGCCTGAAACTCTGTAAATCGTCCTCCTAACATTGCTGATACGCATATCGCTATTCTTGTAATACTTTCGTTTCGAGGTAAGACAGTTTAGTAGCAATACAGGATGCGCCGAAATTTTGGGGGCCCATTACCTCTTCGCTAAAATAAAGAAGAAGTACTTAGGAAGCAAGAAATTTGATGCAAGCAAATATGTATGTAAGTTACAAATACAGGCTAGCTCTTGAAGTTAAAACATCAGCTGGATCCAAAGAAGGAATTCATATCCTAAAGAAAATCGGCATAAGAAAATCCTACACAACGAATTTCATATCCTTTACGAGTGCTTCTGTCGTGATACGCAGGTAGTATAAAATCTGTCGCACACTTTAGTATTTCTTTCATGTAGAGAATGTACAGCATGATAGAGCAAGTTTTGCCCAAAGCATGGAATAAAGAATTGCCGTATTTAGAAATGAAGATAATGGGACCCACTGCAGGCATGTTTACGTTGCATGGGATACGGTTGCACGAAGAAAATAGAAATTTAAGTCAGAGCAGTAAACATACTGTTCTTCCAACAACCGAATTCAACTAGTTGCTTATATAAACGGTGTGAAAGAAAATAGGCCAGATTCAGTGACTGCTGCGCTTGTATTTTTTTGAAATTGTGTCAAAGATGGCTGCAGGTAACATTCGTAAAGTTTTATTTGTCGCTCAAAAAAAAAGGTTCTGTCAAAGCAGGGGCTACGGTTCAATAGCGCATTCCTCTATATTGACACCGTAGCATAAAGACAACGCGATCAGCTGTGGAATGTAAACAATAAAAAATTTGCTTTCGAAAGGTTTGTTTCCATTTATCACAAAAAACCTGTGGCAACATTTTTAGCTTTGAAAGTCCATTCTTAGAGGACGTTTGCAACATAGCGTGACACAAAATTAGATTCAAAACCACTAGTAGATTTGCAAGCTACCGTACTGCATAGAAATCTTTCATTTTTGACGCATCTTTCTTCAAAGGCAGCAAATAGGGAGAAGTGAACATCTCGAAATTTCGATAAGGTAGATTGCCTACACCACAAAATGAAAACAGAACAAGTCCAAGTGCACAGCATGCGCTCCTGCAAACAGAGCTATTCCAAACCCGTGCGCACATGCCATTCTTACACGCACTTGGAGCGCTCGCGAATCCCTTCCAAAGACTTCCTCTCTTATCTTGGCAGAAACTGTTCCATTCTTTCAAATTCAGATTGAAGACTTTGGATAATGCTGGTTCTCGTCCTTATCGCGCTCTAAGGTGCAATTTTGGAATCAGTGCGTCCGTTTACTTCAGGCAAACTAAGAATTTCAAGTCGAGAGGGTATGCGAGATCGACCTTCAACAAAACAATTTTTGGAAAATCTTTCTCGATACTGCGATCCTACTGCTTAAAATGAATTTTGTTCCAAATTTTAATCTGAGCCTAAAACGACAAGTTCTAGTGTTTTAAAAAATTCGCTGTTTTCTATTTAGAGCTGCACTGAAAATACCATAGCTGGTGTGATAAGCCGAATACGTTACACGCATATCCTTGGCTTATTAACCAAACATTCACATTAAGTTAAATTTCGGCCTTTCTAGGAGGAGTAGATTTTCGGCATTATGAAAGTGATTTAAAGTGAGGATAAGACAGGCAAAATTTGCTGAGACAAGTAGTAATATTGACGACCGAGTTCTCTGGACACTGCTAGAAATGTCTCTTGTATCACTCAATAGTATAATCTTATCAATTTTATCTATTTTATTTTACAATACGCTCGATAGGTGTGCCAGAAACAAAAACGAGAAGCGAAATGAACAGAAAACATAACACACTTAACGAACATGATTGCCAGACCTAAAAGGGATAAAATGGATAGAATGTGAGGTAAACAAAGCCCCGGATAAACGGCTATCAAGCTCTCCACGTAAAGAATAAGAAAGCAGAAAGCAAGGCTGGTCAAACACTAGACTTCAGCATCTTGCTGTGTCAATGATACCTGACAACCCCGATTCAGCGAGCCTACCAGCGGAGGCTAGCTGACTTGGCCCGACAAAGAATAGCCTGGGAGAAGGCAATATATGGCTGAAGTACTAGGCATGAAGATAAGGCAATTAATATTGATGACTTTTGAAATGATCTGAGGTAAGGATAGGGGCGGTAAGGTGAAGATGTAGTCTTGTAAATCGTGACAGATTTTTCTATTCCATTAATTCATTGGGTTGGCTATAAACAAGCTCGTTAGAACACACAATTTTTCGCTCTCTAACAGGAGTGGTCTCTATAAAGCTAAGATTTTTTGTTGAGGAACCTCAAGCCTCCGTTTCCATACTGAGTACCCATGTTTCTCCATTATTAACAAATGACAACTATGCCTGTTTTGTTCTCGGGTTGTAGTGAGGGCACAATTTTAATAATTGAGTGCTGGTTATATATAAACTTTGGCCACATAGCGAACTACAATGGAAATTGAGATCTGCTTTTGTAAATTTCTGCGGCCAAAAATGTCAAAATTTCCAGGTACTTGCGTGTGAAGGTTAGGTTCCGGGGAATCTAGATCGCTCAAGTTTGTCACTAGTTTGCTTTTGGGGTACGTTTTCTCGAAAATTTGATGAAAAAATCCAAATTTTTTAAAATTTCCTACACATGATTTTTGAGGAAATAGAGTTGGCCATCTCCATAGTATGCATCCTCCAATAGTACCATAAATTCGTACATAATTGAACTTCACTTCCTCATAGCGGCAAATGCGGCCGATCTCTTTCTAGCTAACATAATATAAGCAATACTGAAATGATCTGTTAAAAAAAACTGATGCATGCGTAGCTACGTGCACATTGCAAGTCCGCGGTCTCCCCATGATTTCCAGGAGGGTCTTCTTTTGGCTAAGCCCAAGCCTACTCATGCGAGTTTATTGTGATTCAACTGGCATAAATACCTACGCCCGGCCCTGTCAACGCACTAAGATAAAAGCCACTCAATTCCTATTTCTACATTTCTATAGCTGTTTGCCCCTATGTTTTCGTAAGCGTCAAGTTCCCCCACCCCTCCCCCCCCCTTCCCGCGCTCCCGTATCCACTCTCAGGTTAGTAGATGAAAGTGTTCGCAAAAAATTGATTTAGAAAAATGAAAATGATGAAATTGATAGATTTTAAACCGATATTGTGTTCGTAACCAGTAAGCTTGCCCATCCTTTGCCACTCCCAGCCCCGTAGCTCAAAGTTTGCGAAAAATCGGCATTGATTGATAATGAAAAGTAGATTACGACACACTTTCTGTAAAGTTTAAGTGTCCAAAATTTGATTCAAATCGCTTCAGAAATGAATTTTCTACTCGGAACTTGCCTACGATATACATGCAGAAGACAGACAAACAGAATTTCATTTTATACCCTCTACCTCTACCATTATGTCACACTTTCAACATGGTTGGACCAGTGAAAGATGCCTCGCTAGAAGCCTGCGCTTGGGAGCTCTGTAAGGCAGCTTGCCAACCGAAAACAGCTGATGTTGCGGGAGATGTTTCATAAGCGCCTTTTTACAGTTTTGTTTTATTTTTTCAAATATCTTGCCAAGGAATTATGCTGCGTGGTGTGTGAAAATTGACTGAGTGGAAACGGAGGCGCAACAAAGTATTAGGTTGTCCGGAAATTAATGCAGGTTGTGATTTCCAAACGCAATAAGTCATACATTTCTCATTTTTGAATAGGTTGCAAGATATTGTTCGATAGAGCAAACCAAGCTCTACAAGATGGTATCTTGCTTTAGCAACAGCTCTGATCCACCATGAGTATCGAGCCGAAAACTAAAAAGATTCAACTGCGCGAAAACTTGAAAAAAATCGGAACTCAGATCGTAAATTCCTACAAAAATTCTAGCTTGCTCACGTAAACACAATCCCATAAGGCACCTATATACGCCGTTGCCGTATTTTTTTCTCT